AGCTGTACAGGGTGTTACGTAATACCCGCCTCACCTCTTATTTACGAATAGAGCGGACTAGACTGAATCGAAAAGTCCTCTACCACTTTACAATTTTAGCAAACGTTAACGAGTTATTAATTAGTAAAAATCGCTGTCTTAGCCCGGCCTACCGCCTACGATTGGCGTTGCTAGGCGCGCGGAGAGTTATTATACGTCGCCGTTGCCGTGTCATAAACAACTCTCCGCGCGCCTAGCAACGCCAATCGTGGGCGGTAGACCGGGCTAAGACAGCGATTTTTACTAATTAATAACTCGTTAACTATTGCGAAAATTGCAAAATGGTAGAGGACTTTTCAACTTAGTCTAGTTCGCTCTATCCAAAAATAAGTGGTGAGGCGGGTATCTCACAACACCCTGGAGAATGACATCAAACTTCACAAGAAGCGACATCGCGTCTGATAAAGACATTTGATAGCGATATAAAGACGATGGACAAAAGATTTAGATTTCTCTCTTAAAAAATAGGCGTTGAAACAGCAGATTGAGTTTCGTCTAAACGGATTGCGAGGATACGAGCATGGCGATTAAGCGAATCGGGGTGGCTTCATCGCCAATTTGAATCCTCTCGACGGAGCACGGGCTTCGAGCGGAGAATGAGACGGGAAACGTGGGTTCGTAGGCTCTCGTCGCGGAACTCACAGAGGCATATCGATCGCCGTTTACGTCTGTGGTACTTGTTCGCGAGACAAACGAGGAGCAACGCGTAGTACCGAACGGCCGTTCGTGTACACGCTTCGCTCTTTGTTTGCCTGCCTTTCGTTCGTCGCCCTTGTCACGAAAACGTAATTCGCACCCTACCACCGTCTTCGAGTGTTAGCGATGAAGAAAATCCGAAAAAAAATCCAGCACGACGCCGCCGCCGGGCGTAGGCGTCGTGTTTGCAAAAGCTTTTCGGCGTTGCGTCACGAATTCTGCTCGAGGCTCCCTTCTCGCTCGCGGAAGTCGTAAGATTCAGAAATATTCAGCTCGATTAAATAGAAAAATGAAAACTTGCATCTAAAATACAAAAGTTTCAAGAGAGACGAGAGAAAAGAGTTCAATTATTTGTTCAAATAAAGATTTGTTAAAAGCGGATGTCATTAGATACGTTGAAATATTGAAAATCGCGAAACGCGAATAAAAGACGTAAAAAGATTTTTACTGCTCGTACTGTTGTCGTGGCACGTAGATTGCCGTGAATAAAACATCACGCGGAACGAGGTCAATTTCGTGAGAATTATTGCGGATTTACCTTTCTCACGGTTTTCCGCTTCTCGTTCGATGAAATCGCAAAACGAGAATAAGCTCTGATCGATAATATTTACACGAACTAACATACGCGGGGCTAATCCAAGAAAACTGCTTGGACAACGTGCAAATACGGCATGAGACGGGGGATCCAATGCACCGAACATTAATTCCGCGGATCCGTCATTATTCAGGTTCCCCGGTAAATCCCTCGATACGTTATCAAGCGCGCATGATACACGAGTATATTACGACCGTTCCCTAATCCCGGTCTTTTGAGAATACAGGCTTTGAGGATCCAATAAGTCACCAGGTAAAGAGTTTAACAGAAATTCGCATACACAATTGGAGATCATCGGACTATTGGCAACTAGTTTTATCCTCCATTCAATTGCATATAGTATAATCGTGCATATACTTGTTGTTAGCAAAGTAATTCCACTTTTTTTTGTTTAGTATGAAAGTCGTGCCTTTCTTATTTCTCGTGATTTCAGAATCTTAGACAGCAATAGGAAGTATCGTAACCGTGTATCTTCATAAGAGAAAATTCAATTTCTTCGGGAAAGAAGCGTCATTAAAATTAAACCCAGGACCTCCCAGAAGGAACGAAGTAACAAAGTGGCATTGATTTTGCGCCATTTTGCGCTTTTTCCTCGCGTTCCCCTCGAATTAACGACCCGCCGTCGAGACAACTGGCCTTTAACTCTGGTCATGGAACAACTTGTCACCGGTAACAGGTGTTAAAGGCTTATTGCATCGCTCCTAATGCGCTCGCGAGCACGTCGCCTCCTTGGCCGTGGCGCGTCGCGACGTGCTGATTTTTCGCTCGCGAGAAAAATGTGCCCGCGCCGCAGTATCGCTGAAATATTACGCCCGCTGCAGCAAAATATCTTTAAAAGCATGGTTTCGCACTTGCCTTTGAAGTACGTAAGTCACGCCGGATGCGTCGCGCCACGCCGGTGCTCGGAGAGAAAAAGATAGGGGAAGCTCGGATGTACGAGAGATACAAAAATGTATTTTCCTACAATACTCTTGCGTCGAATAAAAACATCGCGAAAGGAAACGTCGCGCGAAAAGAACCGTGAAATTATTATCATATTCCTCTAGCGAGCATTACATTACAAATCCGGAGAATAATAAAATCGTTAGCGCATTGTATGCATATTTTTATGTGCGCGCGTGCAATAATTAGATACGCAATCTTGTTGCATTTTAATATCAATTTCTAATAATTATGTGTATCTATATTAATACGTTGTTATAACGTTAATGAATAACGTTATTATACAGAATGTAGTAATGTATTACCGTGCATATTCCAATTATTTTATCTCGTGCTAAAAACTTGCTAATTCACAAGACTTAAAAATGTTTCAATTATCCAACAGACAACCCATAGGCTACTAGAATAAAATCAGGAACAAATATTTATGTGCGAAATGTATAGTAGTTTTATTATATATAATCATTGGAAAGCTTCGTGTTTTACGAAACAGAGTCAATGTCAGCTTCCGAGTCGTGTTAAGGATTGAAAGTTTAGACTGCAGCAAGGTCTGTAGTTAGAAATAGCCGAAAGAACTTTGTGATATCGCGTTACTAGCTCGGATAATAACGTACTTTTTATGGTTTCAGTTTAGACCAACGAAGAAACCTGATAACCTTGTTTAAGTAATACATCAACTACTCATACGTGACGTTACAAAGAATTGGATTGCTTGCGAAAGCTAATTTCTAATTCCCTCGTGTGTTTGCATATTGTCCTTTAAACTCTAAAATATAGAATAGAGGTACAAAAATACATGTGACATATTTATCTAATAAATTTGACTATTATAATTACAAGTTATTAAAAATAAAAACAACTACGGCAACTTGTCCAATGATTCTCCATATTTTTATCAGCGTATAATATCAACGTATAGAATTATAATATAATTCGAGATTTTAAACAAGTATCACTGATTATATAAAAAAAAGTCTCGTTATTCGATGGGTAATGTTAATGAATTGGTCCAAAAATATCGATATCGAAATTTTAAGAAGATTTAAAACGATAAATGAATTTTGTCTTGCAAGCCAATATCGGGTTAAGAGTTATCGTATTGCCGATTGGAATTGGCTTCTTCTATTTTGACGCGTCCTTATATCATTATTTATTCCACAGAGTGTCACCCAATTTATTTTAAAAATACATCGGACGTGCGAGTTCACGAAAATATGCAATCCAGGTCACAATGTATATTTCATAGATCTTGTACGAAATATTAAATAATAATGGTAAAAACGTCGCTAAAGTGTATAAAAGAAATTGGATCATGAAAGATATTTATATTAAACATGTAAACATATTGTTAATTCATCCTTCACGTGACGTTTAAAAAAACGTGTCGTATGGTTTTAAAAGATAAAACGAATCGCAGGTTTATAAAGAAATTTTGCTTAATATCCTTCTTTTAATATGCAATCTTTGTATTATTATTATGTAAAATATATAGAGAAAATCTTGGTTATTGTTATTATATTCGCTCGGCATTAGTATTCTGAATTTGCTACTCTAATCTATGCCTGGAAGGCAAGATACTATCGAAAGGTGCGAATTCTATGAGAAATTTAGTCGGCATAGCGCGATGCATTGCGGTTATACTTGGTAGCCCATTAATGTTACCTCGGTATATGACGTTCTGTAATTAGGTCGTCGCTTATGTATACATCATTGTGTAAGCGCATTTTAGGCGCTCAGCGCGATAAGAGCTCATTATGCGACAATCTATGAAGGAGGATAATCTCTTTTTTCAAAGGAGAGTAATATTTCTTTCCCGCATCACATAATGTATTATCTATTGCATAATTAATCAAGAGTATTAAAGGTGCACCAGTGAAAAGAAGTATTTACATAAGAAAAATGCACATTACGACATAAGCAATTCATAACAGAAAATTATATTAAGAAGCTAAGTTAAAATAAAATAGAATATCCGAAAAAATGGCCAAGTTACAAACAGAAAGCCTTTGAACAGAATTTTTCCAACAAATATTGTTGTACGCCATTAATTATTCGTAGAGCAATTGACGCAGGTTGACACGGTTACATCTGTCGATGTAGTTGGTTTAATGAATGATATTACGCAAATTTGTGTGTAAATCACCGAGACCAAGATACTTGGTCCCTATTACGTAACAAAAACGAGATGAGGGAGGAAATAGAATGATTTATTTGCCCTGTCTGCGCGCGAATGCAATATCGATACACGGCAATTCCTACGTGTATTTACTCAAATTGGCTTGTCTGCCGCGCGATAGAATCTATCTGCCCAAACAGCACAATCGAATATCGTTTACGTCATCTCGTATATAGTCGCCTTGCATATATCCCCGGCGACGTCTTATTCTTAGCGCTACTCATTTTTATCAAACAATTTACGTATTCCTGTCGATCGGGAAGAGAGAAAAAACCCAAAGCTTATATCGGGACGATATTCTCGTCATTTATCGACTTACTGTCACCAACGACAGATAGTAAATACGTTTCTAATCGCTAAACATACGATGACGATATCACGAGCCGCGAAATTCGCTGGGGGATGACCGGCCGGCTTCCTATCATTTTTATTCAAATTTTTCGAGCAACCGTGCGTAAATTCCCACCCTACCGTGACAATGGCCAGCAGGGACATGCGAACTCGCGTTCGGTCGCGCGGCACAAGGGGCGACCGACGGAAACCCCGGCTTACCTTGCGTGCTGCCGTTGGGCTGGCTGGCCTGCTGTGGTATCACGGGGTAGAGAGGCGAGGGATGAGGTGATGGTTGATTGCTGCTGGGCGGTCCTGCAGTAGAATGCGGGTTGGCAGTCGTCGGGGTCGGCGTGGCCGAAGGTACCGCTTGTTGGGATTGCTGCACGTTACCGACGGACGTGGGTGTTGCCGCGGGGGTGCCGTCGCAGCCCCCGGTACCGCCGGGTGGTTGTTGTTGCTGCGACGGCTGTTGTTGCTGCTGCTGTTGAGGCGTTTGCTGCGGCGACGGTGGTTTTTGCGCGTCCGTCGCCGACTCGCTTATCGTTTCTGCAACGAGAAGCGCGATTCGGTCCTGAATATTAATTCGCCCGGATCTCGCGGTGTTCTTGGGGCGCACGACGTTTTTAGGGGTACCGCTGCCACCCGGACGTGATTAATTCGTGAACGTTCGCGGTCTGAGCCAATTTCCAAGGCGGTTATGAGAAATTTGCATGCGCAAAGGTTGAAAGAGAGCGAGGAACGCTAGGCTGTTTTATTAATGTGTATATCGCGACGTACACGCGAGGAAGGCTATCTCTCAATGGAAGCATTGAACAATGGAATATTAGTTGAAATTGTTAAGTAAAAAGAGGCAGAGATTGTGAAAGCGTACAAAGGACAAATGGATCAAATTTATATAGATGGATTAAATTTAATTTAACATAGGACGGACATCGACCCGGGTGGAATTTCAAAGGTCGGGTGTTTTGGTACATAGCTGGAGTTTCGCTCGGTCATATTAGAACTCAGAACAGAGAATCACGGAGCGTAACAACAGCTCGGTGCAGTTAACAATGCAACGATTATAGACGTCAGTGGCGTCACGTTAATTCGGTTCACCGCGGAAACGGCTGTGACGTATATATATATAAACTCCGGCATAAAAGCGGTAATCTATTGTCCTTATAAGTCTAACATTTTGTCGATCCAAATTTTAGCAAAGAACAATATATAACAAAATTTTAATGCGCATTAATATAAAAAAAAATATATGGAATTTCAATAGATAATTGAAAATATTTTCAATATCGATATATAAAACGCATGTGTAAAGACAAAGAAGGCGCGATATGAATTATAAAAAAATATATCTCAAAGAAATTTATATTTCCTACGTGTACCAGCAAAATTTAACACTACGAATGGTTTTTTTATATCGTGTGCCAAGCACGGTTGGCAAAAAAGAGGTCTTTTCATCGTCAGCTTTTCGAAAACATCGATATTCGATTTGAGCGTAAGCTGAATAATGATGTTGAGCTGTTTTTAATATATATCTGATATTGCCATCGGTGTTTTTCTTTCGATGCGTTCACTCCTACGCGATATCTCGCCGTATTTTCCGCCATTCATATCCCCACATTTCCCGGGTCTCCATCGATTTTGCGGTTAATTTAAATAAACGTGTGTATCTCTCTCTCTCTCTCTCTCCTCTCTCTCGCCGTAGTAACCGGCGGGATGACGTACGTTGATAAATAGCCCTACGTCATCGTTGTCGACTGTACCACCGGCAAGTTCCGCAACTTCCTGCGATAATCTGACGAAACTGCGAGCGGAATACTTTAATTACAAAAGGTGGGATGTAGAAGCCGCGCTCACTCAAAACTTGCCTCGAAAAGTTTCGACCGTTCGGACGAGACTATGACTGATGACGGAACTCGCCAAAATAGTTTCGGAATCAATGGAATTCCCAGAATTTTCTTGGCGAGAAACACAGGCTAAGTTATTGTTGCGTGTTTAAGTATAGAGGGAAGATAGTTATTAATTATCCGAGAAATCCTCGAGCGGCGAGGGAAATTAAAGTGTTTTGAAATCTAACTTCTCGCGCCTCGCTAATTAGCCTCATCGCCGCATCTGTCCTCGAGCATTGTCGATAGAATGTCTCAGAGGTGGCAAATATTTTCTCGGTTATAGATTTCTTGATAAACATGAAGCTTTTGTTTCTCTATAGCGAAGATGATAAGCTATCTATAATTAAATATTCTTCAAAAAGTAATTATGCCAATTTCACATCGATAACGATTGAGAATATTTCTGTATTTGAGATATTTTATATTAATTAGTTACGGGTTAAAAAATTAATTGATATGTCGAACGTGGGAAGATCAACTAACTCCACGTCCGAAGAAAACGTGAAACAACTTTGAAAGCCTCGCACAGTTCGTCGGTAAGAAGGATCACAGTGGTATCACGTTGCGATAACGCCAGCGAATGCACGTTGCTTGCAGACATGGCAAATGATAGGAGATAAATATGTCAAGAAATGTTAAATGTAAACTTGGACGATTAATTGCGTCATTTTGACGCGAGGTACGGCCAATAGCTAGTCCCGAGACTACGGAAATTGAGTTTGCGTCTGCGACACGGTAACGACTGCGAAACGCAATTACGACTTTCGCCATTCGGGTGGCAAGTTGTCGACACCCTAGTACTCTGTTTCTCGTTTCCTGTGCAATCTGCCGAAGGGGTGGACACCACTTTCGGGGCGCGCCAGGTAAACGGACTCGGAAATATCTGTCTGGCGTGCAAATTTCAACAAACGAGGCGTACCGAGAAAGGCAATAAAGAAAAAAACCAACCTGCGGCCGTTTTGAGAGAGTAAGACAAAGTTGTTACATAAAATGCAAAACAACCAACCAATCGACGAAATAATTATCGATAAAAAATTCAATCAACGAAATAATAATCGATACAAAAATGACGTTAAAGAAGAAGAAAAGTGCCGAGCAAATTTGAAAAATGACGTAAACACAATACTGAGCAAGAGAACACAAGTATAAAAAGAAGAAACTAAAAGAATAGGAAGATGCAAACTCACCATTTTCCGGAAACGACGTCGTCCGTATCACGGGCAGCAATATCCCTTTCTGCACCAATTCATCTCTGCTGGCACGTACCGAGATTTTTCTCTCGAGCGCTATTAACAAAGACAAAGAAAACGAACGCGAACGTCATTACATTGTTTGCCTCTATTATCTGCAATGCCATTTAAATATTTTCACAGTACAATATCGCACATGGCAAACGTTTAAAACGACTTCGGGCAGAGTAATTTAAAACGTAGAAATAATTAAAATACGTTAAGTATTGATTGTTCGTGCAAAATGCATACGTTTTACTTAAATGCATAAATTAAAATAACATTCATTGCTTTAAAATGCAAAAATTCTTTGTGACATAGCAACGTCAACCACAAAAATAACACAAAAATAACAAGGCACAAAATCAATCATTGATATTTTTTCTATTACAAATAAAAATATGTATCGCGCTCAAATTCAACTATTTTACATTGTAACGCATTATTTACTCACACAGAGAAGCGGCCTCAAATTTATCCGATTTCTTTTTCCGCTTCCACTTCCAAGGTTTGAAGAGTCTACCGAGGGCAGAAAATTTACTTTTTCTTTCCAAGGGCGGCGTTCTCGCACCCGAACCCAAACTATTTGTCCGCAGAGCAGCACCATTTTGCTTTTTCGCTGAAACAGAAACAAAATAATCTTATGTATAATTTATATTACGATGCTTTTTCACGCCTATGTTGAGTAAATTAAATCCCTGCTTTGCTAAAGCAAGTCATTTATCACAAATACGAAGCCCACACGTGTACAATCATATTCTTAACATTACTTACGTAAACTTACGATATTAAAATTTATAAGACAAAACAGTATTTGACAAAATTAAATTGACAAAAACTGTATATGTTATTGTCAAACAAGTGTTAGGAATGTGTTACTTAAACGTATAAACGTATAAATTTGCAAATTGATTACTTGCGTACGATACAAACTAATGTTATCTACGTTTTCAAGATTATCAGCCCGAGATATATTATCCAGATTTTCCGCTGTTCCAGCGAAACGTACGAAGTTACCTATGTTATCCGCGTTTACCGACCAGGGGTGCAGGTTTCCCAACAACCCTCTTATCGGCGTCAGTAAGGGTGGAAACGAGTGAACGACCATCGATCCATTGCATTGGTATATTTGTCGAGAACCACGATTAAAATCTTATTAAAATCTCTACTGTATATATCTCACAACAATCTAAAAGATTAAAATATTTATGAGAGTTTTAATAAAAAGAGAAATTCCATCTTTCAATATTAATTTGTCCTTCCTTTTCTAATTGATTTTGTCCACTGCCAGAGACAATGTAACTTATGCCATGAAAGTCCAATACTCGATAACCCTATAGATAATTTAGTGAAGTTTTCATCGCGATATTTTAAATTCCAAACACAATGCGGTCGGTAGAAAATAAAAAAGGGTTTATTGACATAAAAATTTATCGTAAACTGATTACTCGCGCAATGTTTGCGAAATCAATATTGTAGCAAATATAATTAAATACTGACGAAAAAGTAAACATGAGTTTAACAGATAAATATATCGGCTCTCTATACTGTTATATGATAAAGTATAAAATAAGAAAAACAAATAAAATTTTAACAAAATTTATATGACTTTATGTAGTTGAAGTTTAAGAGTAAAACTGTTAAAAGATTTTATGCAATTATTTTTATTCATATAAATGCGAATAAAATTTAATTTATCTTCAGCAACTGTCCAAAAAATAAAAATATTTTATGAAAAAATATTTGATTATAGATGATGAAATTAGCTGAGCAACACACAAATCTAGATTCGAGATTTGGAAACGAGACTTTGTCTCGTTCTCAACTTTATCGCGCTGCTAAGGTCTTAGAAGAAGAAAGAGTTCTTTTAAAAGACTGTTCTCACTGAATGCACCCTTTCAACCTGCACTTATCGGCCATCTACTACCTTCTTGTTTGTAACGCCCTTCGTACATAATACAGTCACTATCCTCTTGCGTCGAGAGATACTTTTTTACGTAAAAACAATCGCCACGAACGTGAAGAACTTGACAATTCAAACAAACAAAATATATAAATCAGATATCGTAAGGAAACTTGTTACAATTACGCTTTTGTTATGCGATAAGAATAAAATATTTTTTCTTATTTTATTTTTAAAAATTTTAGAGCCTAATTAATATATTTACATTATATTCCATAATTGTTCATAAAATATTGCTACACAATTCTAAGAAAGATTGCCTGCAATAATTAATTTTAATTATCCTCGTATAAAAAAAAATTTAAAACGGCATTGGAAAATTATTTTTTATACAAAGTTCGAATAATACGCTATTCATGCTGAATATTTGTGCTGCTGATATGATGTCTTCGGAATCTACTTCAGAAAAAAAACGATAAGATATCGCTAAGAAATTCTCCCGTACGATATTCTCCCAGTCATAAACAACTTATATCGCCCTACCCGCGTCGACGCCTTCCCTATGGTGCATAATGCAAAACTCCCGTATATCTCGGGAAGTTACGGAGCGGCGACAGTGGCGAGGGTGAAATGTGGCGGAAAGAAAGTGCGTCGTGTGCGGCAGAACGCTGTCAAACGACGATTCCGAGGAACCCCGTGGGGAATAATGGCCGATAACGTGCGGTAGGGCAGTTTTGCAAGCGCAAGGTGGAAGCGGCCGATTACAGCAGCCTTAAGCACCCCTCGGGGACACTCTCGTGACTTCCACAACGTCTTGGAAGGTGCACTTCTTGAACAGAGTGACTTGAGAGCGTGACGAACGACGGACATTCAAGTTGCTTAAACGACAATCGCTTAATTAGTCGGAGTGTTAACCTTCCCATGATAATCAAAAATTTACAAAGGAAGCATCAGAAATAGAACACCTCTGACCAGAATGGCACACGTAAACTTGAGGAGTAAAAACGTTGCATTTGATCTATTTATGAGAAGGTCAGTTCTGAGAAAACACGATTCAACATTAGATAATAATTGCGACATAATAGATAGGCAATGCGAAAATAAAATTTTCGCAATGAACTCTCTACAATCTTTCCAAGAACAAAACAAGCTTTAGCATTGCCAATATATCGTCTAATTTTTTATCTTGGAATTCAACGTAAGATAATATTGTGTTATTTCAATATTCATGCGCTTTTAGCAACAATGCAAACTACTTCTAAATCGTCAAATTGAATTTTGTTCTCAAAGCGAAACATATAAATTTTTTATCTCTCACGAAGAATTTTCCCTTTTTCTTATAAAAGGAAAGCAAAGTGATGCCAAAGTGGAATAATTGACGCCACAAAGCACTTCCGCTGTTCCAGGAGAGACCTATTCATGCGAGTCGAAGATCGAGGGTTCTTGCACCACATCCATCGTCTGCAGACAATGACAATATTAACGCAATAGACCATATATTCGTCATTGTTCTAAATCGTACAGTGCCTTGGACGACGATCATTTTGCTCTTGCCATAAAGCACGAGGAAAAGATTTGAGAAAGCCTATCGCGTGATACGAGCTTGTGATTGGTAGATATAACTCTGGAAAATATAACAAAGTATTTTTCACGCTAATAAAGATTCTTCTTTACCACAAGCTTGTCCCACCGTGTTGATAGAATTTAAAAAAATTCAGATTATAAAGATCATTATATTCCATTGATTATACACTCTGCATTGTAAATTGGAAATTTTCTCCAGACCAAGTTTTTAATAGCTTACAACGATGAGTGGATAATCTGAGTTCTTCGGGTAACTCGTTTAAGTAACTAATTCTCATGTTGCGATAGGGTTACAATTTGATCCATTTAATCGCTACGCCGGAGATCGATGCGAGGCGTGCTGATCAATAATGAGCTATTCACGGGCTATTGTCCGCGGATGTGTATCACGTTGAACCATGTTTCGCAATTTCAAGTTTGAGTGATTAATGTGCAAATGAGGCGTAACAGACGCACGTCGGCGCGCGGATGCTTGCGACTATTTAATCGAGCTTCGATGGTGGAGATCGTGTAACCGGGGTTTGACGACAGCCACGTGAATGGACATCCAACTTGGATTTCGGTGAGACACAATCGTTACCTGGTAAACCGCACGACAAATCGCGTTAAACATAATTAACGTTGAAAAAGGGGGGAAAGATAGAGAGAGAGATCTATTAAAAATCGATTGTTAGCATCGAGATAATTTCACTAATCCCCCCATATTAAAGTGTTCAAATCTATTAACAAAATAGAGAAACGCCACCGTAAATTTAAAATGTAGTTATTCGCAAATATCGATATTGTTATTTCAAATTGCGTTTATATTGTTCAATGACCGTGCACAGTTCACGCGGTACATCACGCCTATCAAGCAGTACATTTCACGGATTGAGCACAAGTTAATGGCATAAAACCGACTACGCCCAGAAAATGTGGGGATTCAGCCATAATCGTTGCCTTTCACCATAACAAAGCGGAGCCGATAAAAGATATGCGGGTTTACCTCCCGTTCGATAGGCGCTAATAGCGAGTCTGGGCGAGTGAAATACAATGCAGAACTCGACACATTGGCGAATCGCTCTCGCAGAGGAAGGAATTAATTATTGTCATTAAAACAGTTTGTAGGGGGGAGAGTGAGCGTAATATGTCGCCTAATCGAGTTGCGGCATCCTCGTGGCAACCGGACAAATGGACTCGAATGCCGATCGAGCCGCGGCGATGCGTCGTCACTCGACCAGGAGTCTGGAACTGGATATTGCCGCTATTGCATCGATGCAACAGGCGCATCTGATACAACAATAGACACGCGTCATTGTCAGCGAGTCTTGGACCGTGCCGGACAATCCAGCAATCGACTGACAATGAGCAGTTCGGCGGACTAAACAGAGCAATGGAAATCTCTTGAACCGAAGTCCAAACACTCGCCAACTCCCATCTTCACTTGTAAAATTGTTACAGCGTACCCAGAAAACTCTCGACAATAAACATGACGAAATAATAAGCTTTACCTACTTGTCGTAGTATCAGGTGCATACAAAAAATTTCGATTGCTCGACTTGATAGACGAAATTTTTGTCATTCTTGTGGATGTTAAATCCTATCCTATTGTTATGTCAACTGCAAACGCGTAATACGAGTCCTGCATGGCATTTAACGCGGAGCTAGGTAATTTCCATTATTTAATAACACAATTTATCATACACACGTCCGCGCACATACGAACGAAGAATTAACACAGTCACATTAGCGTCATTGTGCCGTAACGAATATTCGCGCGGAGATACGCGGCGTGTCGTCGTAACGACGGCGTGAAAGACGATTTGTATTCGGCGTTTGTATATTGCGGCGCGTATTACGATATCGCGGTTCGCTGTCACGGTGACGTAGCGGCTTGCGTCGCGTATACTCCATAAATCATCACTAACGGAATAATAAAGACCCACCCGCGCGCGCGTACACCTTCCTTTCTGACTCGCGGCACAGCAAGCGACGGACTCAAAGCGGGTGGAAAAGTGCACAGATAGAATAAGGGTTGCAACCGCATGTTGCAACCCTGAACACAGTGATGGTAACGATAGCAGCGTTGGCGGAGGCGGCGTTCGTCTCCGTCAAGGGATGCTGGGGTGTTGCTATGGAGATATCACTTTGTT